CTAAGCCCCAGTAACAAGCAGAGAGACCCCAGTATCTTCAGGATGGAACGTCTGTCTGAGGCTGCTCTACCACTGCAGGCTTTAGTTTAAAGGCAGGAGTTTAGGGTTAGAGCTTCCTGAATCTAGGAAAGATGGGCAAGGATGGCACCTGAAGGAGCTGTGGACACCATCTGATACTAACAAGAAGCCCCCTGATGGCATAAACAAGGGCAGGGGGACAAGCAGGTATCTTGGAGAGAGAACAAGCTAGCATTTTAGGACAAGAAACTGCTCCTTTTCTCCATCCCCCCACTTTTTTTTTTTTTAACAAGTTTTACAAGTTGTGCAGGCCAGAAAGTCTTCTCACTCAAAGAAGGTGGAGGGCCATCACTCCAGCTTCCTTTTCTCCAGACCACCTTGTCCCCTTCCCCTGGCTCTGTGCCCACCTAGACTGTGGTCTGGGAAACAGAATAGGCCCAGTGACTCTCACTGCCCCACCTCATCCAAGGTTTAGAATTACCTGGAGTACTTGGCCAAAGTAAACATTTTTTCACTCTATTTTTATGTTCTATTTAAAATTGTCTGGGATGGTACTTCTAAATCTGTATTTTTAACAAACTTCCTTCCCGGGTGCTTCTGAAATGCAGCTAAGGTTGGAAATAATCTAATACAATGTGATTCTAGAATTATCTGCATGTCTCTACTCATCTACCTTTCTGGGAATTTTTCATAGATAAACTACACACTACTCCTTAGTCACTACAACAAAGGCTGGCAGAGAACCGGGAACTGGAAATTTAAAACTTTATGGTGTCAGAATATACCATCAGACTTAAGTAAAAGATCCAAGAAATCTTATCTCTTTGGTTTTGCCCAGTCCTGTTGCAGGAATTCCAGACACTTGCCAGCAGGGGCGCTCCCTGCCCTGATTGAGATCTCAGTTTATTGGAAGGCCTCAATTATCTCTGCTCAAATTCCAGCACCTTTCTTCTGTAGACTTTGGGGTTAAACATTACTTCTTTATCCCCAATTCAACAGTATCCCCATCTCCAACCCCCATTCCCTCTGCATCCCATCTTCACCAAGAGCAACACCTCTATCATATGCCCAATATTTCTGTTTCTGGCTATCGCTATCCTGATACATTCCTCCTAACCTTCATCCCCTCTTTATCTCTCTATGGTTTTCCTATCCCCTCATAAGCCAACCTTCAGAAAACTAGAATAAGCCTGGGAGAGAGGAAGGGTCTGCTGCTGAGTTTAGCACTCTGGACACCAGATGAACTTTCCAGTTCTGACCCCAAGATCATAATTTTGAGGTCTCAATTTAGTTTTAAATATAGATTCTAAGTTATAATCCTCATACACCATAAACCAGGATAAATTCCAAATAAATAAAAGATGTAAAATGTAGGGTGGCGCCTGTGAGCTCAATAAGTAGGGAGCTGGCCCCATATACCAAGGGTGGCAGGTTCGAACCCAGCCCTGGCCAAACTGCAACAACAACAAAAATAGCCGGACGTTGGGGCAGGTGCCTATAGTCCCAGCTACTCTGGAGGCTGAGGCAAGAGAATCGCCTAAGCCCAAGAGCTGGAGGTTGCTCTGAGCTGTGATGCCACAGCACTCTACTGAGGGCCACAGAGTGAGACTATGTCTCTTAAAAAAAAAAAAAGTAAAATGTTTAAAAATTAAATTGCTCTGCCTACAGAGGAGAAAAACTCATTTCAATTCAAGCTGGGAGGAGGGGGAATGAGGGAGGAGGGAGAAGGGGGGAGTTGGGCTGCTCCCTCTTAATGAGCACAGTGTAGGGGTGTATGGCACACCTTTTGGATACAGGATACAACTATAAGAGGGATTCTAGGCTCGGCACCTATAGCTCAACTGGCTAAGGCGCCAGCCACGTACACCTAAGGTGGCGGGTTCGAATCCCCAGCCCTGACCCGCCAAACAACAATGATGGCTGCAACCAAAAAATAGCCGGGCGTTGTGGCGGGCGCCTGTGGTCCCAGCTACTTGGGAGGGGGAGGCAGAAGACTCGCTTGAGCCCAGGAGTTGGAGGTTTCTGTGAGCTGTAATGCCACGGCACTCTGCCCAGGGGGACAGCTTGAGGCTCTGTTTCAAAAAAAAAAAAAAAAAAAAAAAAAGAGGGATTCTACCTAATAAACTCAAATATTATAACCTGGTTGTTTGTACCTTCCCATTAACCTAAAATTAAAAAAGAAATTAATTTACTAAAACAAAAGCAAGCAAAATAGCAAAGTAAGAAACTCTAGGGGTGGGGGTTACCTCCACCAAAGTAATCATTGAAGTAGACAGAGAAATTGGAATCAATTACTTCTGATGTCTGGAACCTGGTTGGACACTTATAACAATCAGGGGATACTTGATGAGGGAGAGGCTGCTGATCTTTCTTAAGAGAGCATCATAGGTGAACTAGCTACCAGCCAACACTGTGGGGATAGCAGCCCACATTACTGGAGTGGGTGGCTAGTCACAGGTTAGGCAGTGAGAACCTTGTCCTCCAAAAATTTGCAGTTGTACATTTTGGTTCATCTAGGAGGTCCCAAAGGGACAGGCTTGCCTTAGTTTCAGCCCTCTTGGGATATAGCTGTTTCCCTTGTAGCATAGATCAGATTTAAAAGCATGATACCAGCCAGGCACAGTGGCTCATGCTTATAATCCTAACACTCCTGGAGGCTGAGATGGGTGAATTTTTTGAGCTCAGGAGTTCGAGATCAGCCTGAGCAAGAGCAAGATCTCATCTCAAAAATAATAATAATAATAATAAAATAATAAAAGCATAATATCTTTGAGTGGTGAGGGAGAAAAAGAAACTTTATCAGGTCACTAACAGAAACTTTAGTGACCTCACACAACAAAGAATATGCACTTTTAAAAAATAGTTTTAAAAAGTCATAAATTGATGGCAAAGTCCTCAACAAGGAAGTATTAGCAACCCCTGAAGACTGAAAGAATTGAATTTCCAGAGATACCACACTATAAAGCTCAGAATGCCCAGTTCTCAGTAAGAACTCACTAAGCATACCAAGAAACAGGAAATTATGGCCCATTAATAGGAAAAAAAAAAGTTGACATAAATTATCCCCATGGGAGGCCACACATTGGACATACTAGATAAGACTTTAAATTATCTGCCTTAAATATGCTCAGAGTGCTAAAGGAAACCATGAACAAAGAGGTAAGGGAAATCTAGAAAATGGTATATGAACAGGCCAGGTGCTGTGGCTCATGCCTGCAATCCTAGTACTCCAGAGGCTGAGGCAGGTGGATTGCCTGAGCTCACAGATTCAAGACCAACCTGAGCAAGAGGAAGACCGCCCATCTCTAAAAATAGCTGGGCATCATGGCGGGCACCTATAGTCTCAGCTACTTGGGAGACTGAGAAAAGAGAATCGCTTGAGCCCAAGAGCTTGAGGTTGCTGTGATCTATGATGCTGTGGCACTCTACTGAGGGTGACAAAGTAAAACTCTTTCTCAAAAAAAAAAAAAAAAAAAACAAATAAAAATAAAGAACAAAATGAGACTATCAATAAAAAGATAGAAATGTTTTTTAAAGGGACCAAAAAAGAAATTCAGGAACCATAAAATACAATAACTAAAATGAAAAATTCAGGCAAGGCATGGTGGCTCATGCCTGCAATCCTAGCACTCTGGGTAGCCAAAGAGAGAGGAACATTTGAGCACAGGAGTTCAAGACCAGCCTGAGCAAGAGCTAACCCCATCTCTACTAAAAATAGAAAAACTAGCCAGGTGTTGTGGTGGGTGCCTGTAAGCCCTAGCTACTTGGGAGGCTGAGGCAGGAGGATAGCTTGAACCCATGAGTTTGAGGTTGCTGTGAGCTAAGCTGATGCCACAGCACCCTAGCCTGAGCAATAAAGTGAGACTCTATCTCAAATAAATAAGATAAAACAAAACAAAATAATTGGGGTAATCAGTAATAGCTTTGAGCAGACAAAAGAAAGGATTAACATACTTGAAGATAAGACAATTGAGTCTGAGAAGAAAAATAAACAGAGCATAAGGACACCATCAAATGTACCTTACTTTAAGAGTCTCAGAAGAAGAGAGAGAAAAGGGCAGGAAAAAAAACCCAGAAGAAATTATGGCCCAAAACATTCCAATTCTAATTAAAGGCATAAATAAACATATCATTCACAAACTCCAAACAGGATAAACTTAAAGAGATTCACACCAATACACTGTACTTAAATTGTCAAAACCCAAAGTCAAAGGGAGGATTTTGAAAGCTGCAACAGAGAAGCAACTCATGTACAGGGGATCCTCAGTAAGATTTCAAAAACTATGGCAGCCAGATGATATGGCTAAATGGGATGATATGGCTAAAGCCATATCTATCTATAACTATTTTTTAAAAAGTTTCAAACAGCAGCGCCTACAGCTCAGTGGGTAGAGTGCCAGCCACATACACCGAGGCTGGTGGGTTCGAACCCAGCCCAGGCCAGCTAAAATCAACAATAACAACTGCAACCAAAAATAGCCAGGCATTGTGGCAGAGGCCTGTAGTCCCAGCTACTTGGGAGGATGAGGCAAGAGAATCACTTAAGCCCAAGAGTTTGAGGCTGCTGTGAGCTTTGATGCCATGGCACTCTACCGAGGGTGACATGGTGAGACTCCATCTCAAAAAAAAAAAAAAGTTTCAAACAAAAATTCTAAATCCAGCAAAACTGGATCAGGATCAGGCTCGGCGCCTGTGGCGCAAGTGGCTAAGGCACCAGCCATGTACACCCAAGGTGGCGGGTTCGAATCCAGCCTGGGCCCACCAAACAACAATGACGGCTGCAACCAAAAAATAGCCAGGCGTTGTGGCAGGCGCCTGTTGTCCCAGCTACTTGAGAGGCAGAGGCAGGAGACTCGCTTGAGCCCAGGAGTTGGAGGTTGCTGTGAGCTGAAATGCCATGGCACTCTACCCAGGGGGACAGCTTGCAGCTCCTGTTTCAAAAAAAAAAAAGAATTAAGGATCAGGAGGAGGAAAGGGGAATCATGGCAGCTATGGTTTGCAGTGTTCTAGGCAGGAGAAAGTTGACAAGCTTGGAAATGGCTTCTGTCTGTTTCATGAATCCTGGCACTCACTCAGTGCCGTGGAGCAGAGGTTGTTCACAGTATAAAAGGTAACCAGCAATGAGAACATGCCTGTTGCTATGGAAAATCCATATAAGGAGCCTCTTAAGAAATCTATCTTGTGTGGAAACCGTGTAGATTATAAGAATGTACAGCTTTTGTCCCAGTTTATTTCTCCATTTACTGGATGCATTTATGGAAGACACATAACAGGTTTTTGTGGGAAGAAACAGAAAGAAATCACAAAAGCGATTAAAAGAGCTCAAATAATGGGGTTTATGCCAGTTACATATAAGGATCCTGCATATCTCAAAGACCCTAAAGTTTGCAGCATCAAGTATTGGGAATAAGTGACATTTTACAACCAATAAACTTATTTTACAGTAAAAAAAAAAGAAGAAGAAGAACCAAGATCCAATGTACTTAATTCTAATACTGAAGCCAGTAGATGATCTAATACACACCCATGTAAGAGAAAAACTCCAGTGAATTCAAGGTGGGGGGGAACAAAGGAGCAGCAGGGAGAGGGGAGAAGGGAGGAAGCTGAGTGTGCTTCCACTTAATGGGCACAATGTTAGGGTATATATAGGGTGACCAGATTTTAACATCTGTAAGGCGGGACAACATGGCCCTGGGGCGGAGTGGGGGCGGAGGGGGGGGCGCAGGGCAAGGGACAGGGCAGGCAGGGCCTGGCAACAATGCAAACTTTGATAAGCAGTTCTCGATAATCACTTCTCAGCAATTATTTATTACAATTTAACATTATAAAATTAACAAAAATAATATAAAACTCATTCTGGCGAAATAGCCATATGGCGCCCGAAAACCGTATATTCCCTTCTTGTTCTCCAGCCCGGTCATGCATTCTTTCCAAAAATTGGGACTTTTTTAAAATGCTGCAGGATGCGGGACAAATTGTTGAAAAGCGGGACTGTCCTGCCAAAATCGGGATGTCTGGTCACTCTAGGTATATAGCACACCTCCTGGGGGCAGGACACAATTTTAAGAGGGGCTCTATCTAACAAATGCAAACATTATAACCCAATCCTTGTATCCTCAAATTAACCTGAAACAATAATTTTTTTAAAAGATAAAAATAAATACTACTGGCTCTCTGGTCCTCCCGTTCGTCAGACAGCCGCTGCTTCTTATAGTGCAGCGCCAGCCGCATCCCCGAGGCACCATGGTGAAACCGAAGGTCAGAATAAACGGCTTTGGTCGGATTGGGCGCCTGGTCTGCAGGGCTGCTTTTAACTCTGCCAAAGTGGATATTGTCACCATCAACGACCCCTTCAACTACATGGTCTACATGTTCCAGTATGATTTCACCCATGGCAAAATCCATGGCACAGTCAAGGCTGAAAAGGGGAAGCTTGTCATCAATGGAAATCCCATAACCATCTTCCAGGAGTGAGATCCCACCAAAATCAAATGGGGTGAGGCAGGCGCTGAGTATGTTGTGGAGTCCACTGGCATCTTCACCACCATGGAGAAGACTGGGGCTTACGTACAGGGGGGTGCCAAAGGGTCATCATCTCTGCCCCTTCTGCTGATGCTCCCATGTTTGTGATGGGTGTGAACCATGAGAAGTACAAAAACAGCCTCAGTATTGTCAGCAATGCCTCCTGCACCACCAACTGCTTAGCTCCCTTGGCTGAGGTCATCCATGACAACTTCAGCATTATGGAGGGACTCATGACCACAGTCCAGGCCATCACTGCCACCTAGAAGACTGTGGATGGCCCCTCTGGGAAGTTGTGGCGTGATGGTCAAGAGGCTCTCCAGAACATCATCCCTGCTTCAACTGGTGCAGCCAAGGCTATGGGCAAGGTCATCCCTGAGCTGAATGGGAAGCTTACTGGCATGTCTTTCCGTGTCTCCACTGCCAACATGTCAGTTGTGGATCTCACCTGCCATCTGGAGAAGGCTGCCAAATACGATGATATCAAGAAGGTGGTGAAGCAGGCATCAGAGGGCCCCCTCAAGGGCATCCTGGGTTACACTGAGCACCAGGTCATCTCCTCTGACTTCAACAGTGACAGCCATTCTTCTACCTTTGATGCTGGGACTAGCATTGTCCTCTATGACCACTTTGTCAAACTCATTGCCTGGTATGATAATGAATTTGGCTACAGCAACAGGGTGGTGGATATTAGGGCCCACATGGCCTCCAAGGAGTAAGAACCCCTAGACCACCAGCCCCAGCCAGAGCACGAGAGGAAGAGAAAGGCCCTTAGCTGCTGGGGTGCCCCTGCCTACTCAGTCTCCCACCTCACTGAGAATCTCCCCTCAACACAGTTTCTACCCAGACCCCCTAAAGAACAGGAGGGGCCTAGGGAGCCCCACTTTGTCATGTAACATCAATAAAGTTCCCTGAATTAAAAAAAAAAAAAAAATACTACTCCCCAAGGCCTACAACACTAACTAGAGCATTATAGATACTCGATAAATATTTGTTAAACAAAACAAAACAAAAAATGACCCCAAAAGTGTAAGCAACAAAAGAATAAAAAGGTAAATTGGACTTCATCAAAATTTAATTTTTACTTAAAAGTTTTTATAAACAAGAAAGGTTTTCCTTAATTCATTTAAGTTCATTTTAATATTAAATAGGGTTAAATACTCAATAATCCAAGTTTTGTTTTTGAAGAGTTTATTTCAATTTAGTTCCCTTAGGCCAGGCACAGTGGCTCACGCCTATAATCCTAGCACTCTGGGAGGCAGAGACTGGTGGATTACTTGAGTTCAGGAGTTTAAGACCAGCCTGAGAAAGAGTGACACTCCCCCACCCCCCATCTATAATAAAAATAGAAAAAAACTAGCTGAGTATGGTGGTAGGCACCTGTAGTCCCAGCTACTCAAGGGGCTAGAGCAAAAGGATCACTTGAGTGCTATGACACCATGGCATTCTACCCAGAGCAACTACGACTCTGTCTCAAAATAAATAAATAAATAAATATAAGGTAATTAGCACAGGAAAATAAAAATTTATAGGATTTTATCAGTAGATCAGAGTTTAAAAAATCAAACAAAGGATAAAGATTTGTTTAAAATTCAGGTGGCACCTGTGGTTCAGTGAGTAGGGCACCAGCCCCATATACTGAGGGTGGTGGGTTCAAACCCGACCCTGGCCAAACTGCAACAAAAAAATAGCTGGGTGTTGTGGCAGGTGCCTGTAGTCCCAGCTACTTGGGAAGCTGAGGCAAAAGAATCACCTAAGCCCAAGAGCTGAAGGTTGCTGTGAGCTATGACGCCACGGTACTCTATCGAGGGTAACAAAGTAAGACTCTGTCTCTAAAAAAAAAAAAGATTTTTTTAAAACTCTTTTATCATTACGGCATTACACCTTTTTCAGAACAAGTATAATTTACAGAAATTATACAAGGCAACCATTTGTCAAATATTAATATTTAGCGATGTTTTGTTTTGCTGAAATGTTATTTCAGTTGTAAAAATCTTCTCTGGTTACAAAAGGAAAATCAGAAACTTTATCGGATTTAACCTGACTTTACAAATGTGCTAAGAAGTCTTAAGCTAAACCATATTTTAAGTAGAAAAACAATGAATTTAAAATAGCTTGTTGATGGTCATCTATATTCCAGGCTAATGGAAAGCAGAAAAAAGCAGGTGTTGCAGTTTTATTCGCAGATACAATAGGATTTAAACCAACAAAAGT